TTTGCTAAAGATTGCTTTGCTTATTCAGGGTGATTTGTGGTTCCATCTGAATTTTAGAATTGTTTTTCTATTTCTGTGAAAAATGTTACTGGAATTTTGGTAGAGATTGTATTTAATCTGTAAATTGCATTGGGTAGTACGAACATTTTAACAATATTAATTCTTCCAATCCATTAACGTGGGATATCTTTCCATTTGTTTGTGATTTTTTTCAATTTTTTTCATCAATGTTTTATAGTTTTCAGTGTACAGGACTTTCATCCCCTTGGTTAAATTTGTTTCTAAGGTCCTTTTTTTTTTTTTTTTTTTTTGTAGCTATTGTAAATGAAATTTCTTGATTTCTTTTTTCAGATAGTTTGTTGTTAATGTATAGAAATGCAACTGATTTTCATATTGTTTGGGTGAGGGAGAAGGGACCAAAATGGAGGAAGGTGAACAAGATGGCACAGTCCCGATTGCTTCTGGGCTCTTCATCACCAACTTTCCCGTGCAGAGAAAGTGCAGGACAACCGAGCATGTGCCAGGTGATGTCAATCTGGCCACGCCTACAGAGACGCCCCTATCACGCTCTTATCCTGCCCACTGCCCTCTCCCTTCCAGTACCAATGCATAAAAGTCCGCCTCTGGCAGAGGCCGGCGCAACTTCCCTGGCCCCATACCTGAGGACCGGAGAACCCCGCCGGAGAGTGTGTGCATATTTGCAATAAAAGGCTGCCACTTTCTTATGTACTTTGGCCTCAAGTTTATTTAGCTCTCCTAAATTAAATTAAGACTCATATGTTGATTTTGTATCCTGCAAATTCACTGAGTTTGTGTATTAGTTTTAACAGTTTTTTTTTTTTTTTTTTGGTAGAGTCTTTAGGATTGTGTATATATAAAATAATGTTGTTTGCAAACAAGGACATAATACCTTCTTTCTTTCCAATTAGGTATGCTTCATTTCTTTCTCTTGACTAATTGCTTTGACTAGGACATCCAGTACCATGTTGAATAGAAATAGTGATGAGTGGGCATCATTTTCTTTCTTCTGATCTTAGTTAGAGAAAAACCTTTCAACTTTTCACCATTGAGTGTGATATTGACCTGTGGGTTTGTCAAATATGACCTTTGTTGTGTTGAGGTACATTCCTTTTATACCTAATTTGTTGAGAATTTTTTCTTATGAAAGGATGTTGGATTTTGTCAAATGCTTTCTCTGCATCTATTGAGATGATCATATGGTTCAGTCCTTCATTCTGTTAATATGGTGAGTCACATTTACAGATATGCAAATGTTGAACCATTCTTATATCCCTGTGATGAATTCCACTTGAACATAGTAAATTATTCTTTTAATGTGCTGTTGAATTTGGATTGCTAGTATTCATTGAGAATTTTCGCATCTATGTTCTTCAGGAATATTAGTCTGAAATTTTATTTCCTTGCCTGGCTTTGGTATCAGGAACGCTGGCCTCATGAGTTTGGAAGTATTCTGTTTTCTTCATTTTGGGGGAGAGAGTTTCAGTAGGATTGGTATTAGTTTTTCTTTAAATGTTTGATAGAATTCAGTGGCAAAGGCTGCTCTGCTTATGGAGTAGCCATTCTCTATTCCTTTACATTCCTAATAAACTTGCTTTCACTTAAAAAAAAAAATCAGTGGTAAAGCCACTAGGTCCTACACTTTTCTTTTATTAGACACTTTTTAATAGTGATTCAATCTCCTTATTATCAGTTTGTTCAGGTTTTCTATGTCTTCATGATTTCGTCTTGGTAGGTTGTATGTGCCTAAGAATTTATCTGTTTCTTCTAAGTTATCCAATATGTTGGTATATAATTATTCATAGTAGTCTGTTATGATTCTTTGAATTTGTGTGGTATCAGTTGTAATGTCTCTTTTTTCATTTCTTATATTTATTTGTTTTCTATCTTCTTTAATTTAGTTTAGCTAAAGTTTTGTCAATTTTATTTCTCTTTTCAAAAAACCAACTCTTAGTTTCCTTAGTCCTCCCTATTCTTTTATGCTCTATTTCAGTTATTTCTGCTCTGATAATTATTTCCTTCCATCTACTAACTTTGAGCTTAGTTTGTCCTTATTCTTCTAGTTCTTTTTTTGTTTTGAGGTCTTTCTTCTTTTTTGCCTTAGGTGTTCACTGCTATAAACTTCTAATCTTAGAATTGCTTTTGTTACATCCCATAAGTTTTGGTATGTTATTTATCTATATTTATTTGTCTCAAGACACTTTTAATTTCTTCGTAACTCATTGTTCAGGAGCATATTTTTAAATTTCCAAGTATAGTAATCAGGCCTTATTCAAGTTCCAGTTTCCCATGTTTAATCATGGTATGAAAATATTGAGATATTTTGAGAACGAGAAAGAGAGACCACATTCATATAACTTTTATTACAATACATTGTTAAAATTGTTCTATTTTATTATAGTTTTTTTGTTAATCTCTTATTGTGCCTAACTTATAAATTAACTTTTATCATATGTATGTATGTACAGAAAAAAAATCATATATATAAGGTTCTGGAGCTGAAAAATACAATGAACAAAGTGAAAAGTGCAACAGAGACCATCAGCAGCAGAATTAGTCAAGCAAAAGGAAGAATCTGCAAAATTGAAGACAAGTTATTTGAAAATATACAGTGAGAAGAGGAAAAAGAAATCATTTTTTAAAATGAAGAAAGCTTACAGGAATTATGAGACAGCATCAACAGATCAAAAGTTTGAGTCACTGGCATTTTGGAAATCTGCAGCTTCAGGTATCCGTGATTGTGGAATATGTCCCACAGATAACGGAGGACTACTATATCTTTTAATTTTCTGAAATTCTTCATGTTACTCACTTGTAATTTCATGTCATTGTGGTCAGAAAAGATACTTGATATGATTTCAATCTTCTTAAATTTCTTAAGGCTTGTTTTGTGACCTAACATATGATATATCCTGGATAATGTTTCATATGCACTTGAGAGGAATGCATATTATACTTCTGTTGGATGGAATGTAATGTATATGTGTTAGTATCAAGAGAACCTGCTCCCCATGTTTAACGTGGGTTCTTTTCTATTTCCTAAGTGTCTCGGCTGGGTTGAGAAATAAAGGGAAAGAGCACAAGAGAGAGAAATTTAAAGCTCGGTGTCTGGGGGAGACATCACATGTCGGCAGGATCCATGATGTTCCCCGAGCGGTAAAACCAGCAAGTTTTTATTAGTGATTTTCCAAAGGGGAGGGAGTGCACCAATAGGGTGTGGGTCACAGAGATCACATACTTCACAAGGTGATAAAATATCACAAAGCAAATGGAGGCAGGGCGAGATCACAGGACCACCGGATGAGGAGTAATTAAAATTGCTAATGAAGTTTCGGGCACGCACTGTCATTCATAACATCTTATCAGGAAACAGGGTTTGAGAGCAGGTAACCTGTCTGACCACAATTTATTAGGTGGGAATTTTCCCATCCTAGTAAGCCTGGGAGCACTATAGGAGACCGGGGCTTATTTCATCCCATCGGCTTTGACCACAAAAGACGGGGCGCCTTAAAAAGGGGCCATCTATAGGCCTAGCTTCAGGGCCCATTCTCTTTCTTGGGATGTTCCTTGCCGAGAAAAAGAATTCAGCGATATTTCTCCTATTTGCTTATGAAAGAGGAGGAATATAGCTCTGTTTCCCTGCGGCTCACCAGAGGACAGTTCAGAGTTACCTCTCTTGTTCCCTGAACATCGCTGTTATCCTGTTCTTTTTTAAAGATGCCCAGATTTCATATTGAAACACACATGCTCTACAAACAATTTGTGCAGCTGACACAATCACAGGGTCCTGAGGCGACATTCATCCTCCTCAGTTTACAAAGAAGATGACGGGATTAAGAGATTAAAGTAAAGACAGGCATAGGAAATCACAAGGATATTCATTGAGGAAGTTATAAGTGTCCATGAAATCTTCACAACTTATGTTCAGAGATTACAGTAAAGACTGGTGTAAGAAATTATAAAAGTATTAATTTGGGGAACTAATAAATGTCCATGAAATCTTCACAATTTATGTTCTTCTGCCGTGGCTTCAGCCAGTCCCTCCGTTCGGGGTCCCTGACTTCCCTCAACATATTAGGTCTATTTGGTCTAAAGTGCATTTTAAGTTCAGTGTTTCCTTATCAATTTTTAGTTCAGAGGATCTGTCCGCTGCTGAAAGTTATATGTTAAAGTCTCCTAATAATTATTGTATTACAGTTAGTCTCTCCTTCCAATCTATTTATATTTGCTTTACATATTTGGTTGATTTAATGTTGGGTGCATATATATTTACAATTGTTTTATCCTATTGATGAATTGATTCCTTTACTAATATATAATGACTTTCTTTGTCTCTTTTTACAGCTTTAGACTTAAAGTCTATTTTGTCTCATATAAGTGTAGCTTCCCCTACTCTCTTTTGGTTTCCATTTGCATGAAACATCTTTTTCCATAAAGGTGAAGTGAGTCTCTTGTAGAGAGCATATTGTTAGATCTTAGTTTTTTAATCTGGTCAGGTGCTCTGTATCTTTGATTGGTGAATTTAATTATTGATAGGACTTACTACTGCTGTTTAAAACATTGTTTTCTGGTTGTTTTGTAGACACTTTATTCTCACCTTCCTCTGCTGTTGTCTTACTTTGTGATTAGGTGATTTTCTGTAGTAGTATGCTTTGATTCCTTACTTTTTATCTTTCACATATCTATTATTAGGTTTTGCTTCATGGTTACTGTGAGGCTAACATAAAACATCTTGTAATTATAATTCGCATTTTAAGCTGATCATAATTTAACTTATATTGCATTTAAAAATCTACACTTTTACTTTAGCTCCCACCCCACATTTTAGATTTTTGATTTTATAATTTATATTTTTATATTGTTTATCCCTTAATAAGTTATTGTTGTTATGGCTTTTTAAAATATTGTTTTTTCTTTTAACTTTTATACTAAAGATATAAATAATTTATACACAACTATTACAGTATGAGAGTATTCTGAATTTGACTGTGTATTTACTTTTAACAATGGATTTCATGCTTTCATATGCCAATTGGCATCCTTGTCTTTTTGCTTCTTCAGGTCTTCCTTTAACTTTTCTTGTAAGACAGGTCTGGTGGCGATAAACTCCCTCAGTTTTTGTTTGCCTGGAGAAGTCTTGATCTCTTCTTCATTTCTGCAGGATAGCTTTGCCAGTTAGAATATTTTTGCTTGGCAATTTTTCTCCTTCAGCCATAGAGACTGACCTGGGGCCTGGGGCTGTGGGAAGTGGACATAAATCTGGGTCCACAGGGGCAGTCCTGGAGCCTGTGTCTGTGAGGTCTGGCCTAGTGCTGGGGTTAACTGGGATGAGCTTGTACAGTGGATCTTGTAAAGCAGGCCTGGACCCTAAGCCTAGTGGAGTGTAGGGCCACAGGGTCCAGCCTGCAGTGTGGTATTGCAGGATCTGGCCTGGGACTGGACAGGACTGGAGTCCTCGGGTGTCAGCCTGGTACCTGAGACAAGGGATACTGACTCAGCACTAAAGCGGGCCTGAAGCCTGGGACTCTGTGGGCCAACCTATCTCTGGGCTGTTCTGAGCTTGGGGTTAGGTCTGGAGCCAATATCTGCAGGGGCTGGCCTGCAAGCTGGCTCCACTGCAGCCGGCCTGAGGACTAGGGCTTCGAGGGCTGGCTTAGTGCTGGGATGGTCCTGAGCCTGCGGCTATAGAGGCCAACCTGCTGCTAGGGCAGTCCAGAGCCCATGACTTCCAGGGCCAGCTCAAAGAGACTGAATGAGTCTTTGGGGCAGCCTCAAACTCTGGGGCCGCTAAGGTTAGCCTCGTGGTGAGGTGGGCCTGGAGGCCCAGTCCAAGTGTGTCAGCCTGGGGTCTGAGGCCATAGACACCTGCCCAGTTCTGGGTTTTACTGTGGCAGGCTTGGTGTTAGGTTTAAGGTAAAGTCCAGTGCACACTTCTCTCTCCTTCCTCCAAGTGTGGGTTTCTCTCTCTACGCTGTGCGGCCTCGGGTTTGGGGAGGGATGGTTGGATAATGTGAATCTGTCCTTCTTGCCCTCATCAATGTGTCTTTTCTTATTTCTGTGCTATGCTAAGGTGCTGTAATGTTTCACCTGGTTTCCTTAGCTCTGGGGAAGGTATTTTCTTGAGGGAAAGGTATTTTATTGTGTGGAAAATGGTTCAAATTGATGTTTCCATTGGGGGATGGGCACTGGAAAGCCCTGTTCTGCTAACTTGTTGGCATCCCCTAGACAATCTAAATATAAGGTTTAGTGACCCAGAAGGAGATCACAAATTCTAATTGCACTTTTACAGATAATTTTCAATGCAGTTGCTCATACTGAGGGTTGTAAAAATGACTAAGGAGAGTGTTGGCATTTCACTACACTGTGGGTACACAGAGAGAAAAATAAATATATAAAAATATCTTGCTTTAGTAGCTACTGAGAGGAAGAGTATTTCATCTTGCCCTTGCCATAGTAAAGATGTAAACCCCTTTCTAAGTAAGGTGTATTGGCTTTTATTTTTAAATATAAGGTTTTATATACTGTACAAAAGTAACTGGATCTTTAATTTCTTGTTAAAGGCCAAACAAGTAAGCGGAATGACCTAAACTGAGATCTACATTGTAGTAAAATTATACTTTCTCTTAACAGCTTTCTCATAATGAATATTTGCTTATCATTTGTCGTAAGGGTGATAACAATTTCAGCTGGAGCCTCACTGGTAACCTTGCTCGGCCACATGACTGGAAGGTAAGAGGCTGGGGCATTTTGGACAGCACAGATGTTAAATGTGAACACTACCTTCTCAGTAGCACAAATCTGACTACATCTTTAAGTCTCCAAGAGGTAAACTCTCCTTCTTCATAGAAGATTTCACATTTTCAGAGCAGATGCAATTGGAAATTCTAAGAGTACTTAGTCCCTGAGATTTAGCTTTTGTTAGTTCCAAACTCTGCCAGTTTTCCTCATCATTGTTAGAGTCATTTTAATTCCTTCACTTTTCAAATGCTGTGCCTGCCTCTCCCGCGGCACTCTTTGAAGTAAGTAAAGACAAATAAAGACAGTGCAAATACAATCCTCTGAGGCAACAATGGATTCAGAAATGGATACCTACATGAGACACTGCTTACCCAAGTGCTATAATTTGGAATACAATAGCAAAAGTTGTCCAAGCCCCCACCCTAAATCACCTTGGACAGCAGCTGCCTTACCATCTGAAATTCTACCTCTAGGAATTTACTGGAGAGAACAGTTCAAGGCAGAGCAGATTTTGTACAGTAGAGAACTGTAGAGTTGGGAGGCCTCGGCAGGGTCTCCTAAAGAATTCACACATGCACCCCACAAGAGAATTAGCATTTGATTGTTTTCACTCAGAGGTCATCACCAGGGAAACTGTCGAAGTCAAGACAGGAAAAGAACAACCCAATTAAATGAGTCATTTGACTGAACTTTTCTTTCTTTCTCGCTTCTCTGTCCTTAAGCCACCAGAAGAAAAAGAGCTTCAGGAAAGGGAGGATGGGAAGAGTTTCTGCATCAGATCTCGACACTTTTCAATTCCAAGTCTTCTGAGCCAAAATCTTGTTGCTGATGGAAGGAAGAGAAAGATTTAAACTGGATATAAGCTAGCTAGGTTGATGTCAAATAGCTGAGAGTGATGAGAAAGAATGGGATTTCCCTTAGAATGTTACTAAGGAATAGAAATGAAAATTCTACAGAATAGTTGAAGGAAATGATTTTTAAAAGAAAAAGATAAACAACTTTATATCTGTGTCTCATCAAATTCACATCATTCATTAATCTGGCTACACATTGCTGTAAGTAATTCATATTTAAATTAGTTTGTCTAATCCTTTCCTCATTTAGTTTTCTGATGTGAAGTCACAGTAGAAATGGAACTGCTGATTCGAGAAGGCACAGAATAATTTTGAGATATGAATGTAGTTTGGGTGAGACTGCCTAGATAATAATAATCTTGAGTCAGAGTTACCATGCAGCAGGCATTTTATCAGAATCTTTGGGAAACCTCACAACTTTGCAAGGTAATTGTTATTTACCCCAGCTTGCAGGTTAAGAAAGTGCATCAATAAAATCATGTGATTAATCTAAAGAAATCAGTCTAGGATAAGGACCTCAGATAGAGAATATAATTTCCAGGTCCAGATATGCAGTCATTACATATATCATGTGGCCTCCAGCGGGGATGAGGGCAAGGGTATTTTGGTGGTGATAGTGGGGAGAAAGAGAAGAGGAAGTGAAAACCCAGAAGAGAAAAAGGAAATAGACAGAAGTAGGAAGACGCTAGAAAAAACATTTTTCAACTTTACATTTATGGCTAAGGATGACTTTAAATATTTAACCTCATAATAGTTTATCCATGGAAAATCAAGGTACTAACTTTAAAACACATAAAATTTTTGCACCTTACCATCATGAATCTACTCTTGGTTCTATGTGAATTTCTACGTTTTTCAGAAAGGCATTTGTATAAAACTAATATTTAATCACAAAACTTTCTCCAAGAAAGGTCAGTGTTTTGATTCAGATAAGCTGTTTATTTCCATGTTTGGGAAGACCTGAGCCAAAAAACCAGAATGGAAAATGGAATGTAGCCCTAGTTCTTCCTGTGACTCGGGTTTATTGCAAGGATTTCCTTTTGTTGGAAAACATCAGGCATAACAATATTCAAGTATGCTCACATAAATACATCACTCAGCAGAGATATTGTAAAATTATACACAATTGTGAAGAAAGTTAACCTCTACTATCTTTCACTAATGCAGACTTAAGAAGCCCTTTAAGGCTTTTTATATGAATACAATATAAAAGATATAGGAATAACATTATTCTTTCTCCAGTGCCTAACCTCTTCCAAATGTCTGCTTGCAAACACAGAACTGAAAGACTGTATGTCCTCAGTGTGTATGTGTACGTGCACATGTTCACATATTTGCATGTGCACGCATGAAGATTCTACATCAAGTGACTCAAGAGCTGAATATACCTCTGCTTTAGTATTTACTGAGTTACACTGATAAAACCTAGATGCCGTACCAGAAGTAACTTCCATTAATGCATAATCACCTTCACATCTTTTCTATAATCTGACCATGAAAATAAACACCACTTCTAAATCTGTGGCCCAAAGTGATTCAAGGTGAAGCTTAAGAAAATTTAAAAAAGTTGTCATAATTAAACCAGGTGTCTAAAATATAGCCTGTATGTTCTGTTCAAACTATATTTCCCTACTTAATTTACATGGATTTTTCTAAAATGCTAAGTACTCTCTTTGTGTCTGCTGCTCACAATAAAATAATTTGTTCTCTTAATCTAGGAACATGAGGACATGAGCAATAGAAGAAACCTGGAGGAAGAGGGTGCGGCATGTTGAAATTTAAAAAGAAGCAATGTGTATTTGCAAGTCAAACTAGTATAATAAAACCTGTGGTTATTTTTTAATATTTTCAATCATTGGAATATACATAAATCTTTGCAATGAAGTGTGCTAAAGTATTCATATCTTTTAGAACATTATTTGTCCTCCAGTTGGAAATCTACAAAAAAAAAAATTGACTTTTATTTGAAACAACAGTATATCTGAGAATCCAAAACAATGTATCTGCATATTGCTCCAGCACTCTAATATGGAAGTGTTTCAACAGGATGTTCTTTCAAAAACAAAAGGGGAAATAGTCCACATACTGACTAGAAATATGTTTGGCAGATGTGGGAGAATAATCTATTACAGTGGATTAATAAATTAATCAGGGAATTAATTTTATACATAACAAGACAGCTAGAAGTAAGCCAAGAGTTGGTACAGCTATTAAAAGAAACAAAAACTGAAAAAAAAAAAAAAAAAAGAAAAAATACAAAAAACTAGCCGGGTGAGTTGGCGTGTACCCGTAGTCCCAGTTACTCGGGAGGCTGAGGCAGGAGAATGGCGTGAACCCGAGAGGCGGAGCTTGCAGTGAGCTGAGATCCTGCCACTGCACTCCAGCCCGGGTGACAGAGCGAGACTCCGTCTCAAAAAAAAAAAAAAAAAGAACTTATTCATGTAACCAAACACCACTTGTTCTTCTAAAAATCAATTGAAATTAAATAAATAAATAATAAATAAATAAAAGAAACAAAAACTGAAGCTCCTTCTAACTTTCTGCTTTACTCTTCTTTACATGCAAATTTCTCCTCCTGATTGCAAGATGGTAGCTGTATCTTCGGGTATATCATCATTGTTCCAGGCAGAAAAAGGTAGAAGTAAGAAAACCAAAAGATACTTTCTATTTGAGTTTTTCACTTTAAAATAATCAGGGAAACAATGGATTTCTTCAAAATTCTAGCTAGTATATTTCTAGTTATGTGACATTTACCAGAACAGAATAATAGAGCCAACTTTGAAAGGTATGAAAGGTTGAGTTTTTTTTAGGTTTTTTTTTTTTTTTTTTTTTTTGAGACGCAGTCTAGCTCAACCCAGCCTGGAGTGCAGTGGCCAGATCTCAGCTCACTGCAAGCTCCGCCTCCCGGGTTTACGCCATCCTCCTGCCTCAGCCTTCCGAGTAGCTGGGACTACAGGCGCCCGCCACCTCGCCCAGCTAGTTTTTTGTATGTTTTAGTAGAGATGGGGTTTCACCAGGTTAGCCAGGATGGTCTCGATCTCCTGACCTCGGGATCCCGTCTCGGCCTCCCAAAGAGCTGGGATTACAGGCTTGAGCCACCACACCCAGCCAAGGTTGAGTATTTTTAACTGGGAACAACAAAAGTATCCCAATTGTGTTGCTGTTAGTGGGGAAAAAGTAGTTTATGGAGTTGGGTAGATACATTTTGATACTGTTATGGAAGAAATGATTTATGGAGTTAGGAAGGCAAATAGCAATGTTTGCCAAAAGTATCATGAATAGAGAGAAAAACCACACTCTTACCAATGTAAAGAAAAATTACCTGTTGGCTTTACTCTTATTTTTAGGGCTCATAAGCAAACAAACAATAATTTGCCTATTTCTTACTCCTGACGTGGTTTATATTAATGCTATAAGAGAATCTCACCTCCCTAAAAGCAATTTCAGTTTAAAGAACTTGAAGCTTTTTCATCCAATTCTAGGTTCATTAGCCTTCCTAGACTTATTTCTTCTCCTGTGAGTTACAAATTATTTGCCTCTTTATTTAGGAACACACGATACCTGAAGAAAGTCCTTTGACTCAGTATTGGCTTTTTCTTTACACACGCACACAAGCACACAAAAAAATCTAGCATAAACGCCAACTGGTATCTAATCCTGTTTCAAAAGAACTCATAATCTTTTACATGAATATATGTCAATATGAAGGAGATGATGATTTCCCTTTTCCGGGACAGAGGATAGAATTGTGTAAGTGTCTGATATCACAGTGATATTAGAAGAACACAAAAAGTCACTTTATGAGTATTTTCATTTCTTAGAACTGTCATAGCAAAATACCACAGACTTAAGCACACAGAAATTTATTTTTTCATAGCACTGGAGGCTAGAAGACAAAGATCAAGGTGTTAACAGGCTTGGTTTTCTCTGGGGTCTCTCTCCTTAGCTTGCAGATGGGCACCTTTTCTCTCTGTCCTTATATAGTCTTTTCTCTGTGCACACACACATCTTTGTGTTTCCCTGAGTGTTCAAAGACAAAAGTTTCTCCTGTAATGTTTTACCTAATGCTTCCCAGAATAGAATTTAGAGTCAGACAAACCTTGGTTTTAATGCAAGCTCTGATTATACTAGCCATAAAAGCTTGGCCAAAATAACTAACTTCTTTGTGCCTCAATTTCCCCATTTATGGTATGAAGGAAATCTAGTGGAGTGCTTTTGCTGACGGCCCCCCACTGGAGTGCTTTTGCTGGTACTTCTGTTACTACACCAGAGAGCTTTTGCAAGAGGACCCCACTGCCCAGCCAGAGTGTTTTTGCAGGGGGCCCCCTGTGTCCCACCAGTGTTTTTGGTGATGGCCCCTCATAGGAGTATTTTTGCTGGCATCCCTGCTGCCCTAGCGGAGTGCTTTCAATGGATGCCCCATCACCCACTGAAGTGCTTTAATCAGAGATTCCTGCTGCCCCATAGGAGTGCTTTTGTCAGCAGCCCCTGACATAGCAATTTTACCAGCAACCTGGGAGCACCTTGGCCCCTCCAGTGCAGCTTGTACTTGACCTCTGTGGGGATCCAGAGGACAAACCTATGTGCCTGGTTCCAGCCCCCCAGAGTTAGATCACACAGCCCAGGAGTGCCAAGCTGAGCCTTGGTCCTCTGAAAGCATCCAGAAATGAAGACAGTCAGCTACATCCAAATTACACCATAGTCCAACCCTCAAGGGAAATAAACAACATAAAAACAGAAAGCCTCATCCAAAGGACAGCAGCTTCAAAGGATGAAGAAGTATCAGCTTTCACAGATTAGAAAGAACCAGTGTAAGAACTATGGCAACTCCAAAATCCAGAGTGTTATCTTACCCTCAAGTGATCACACTAACTCTCCAGCAATGGTTCCAAACCAGATAGAAATGGCTGAAATGACAAACATAGAATTCAGAATCAGGATGGCAAGGAAGCTCAATGAGATACAGGAGGAGGTTGAAACCCAACCCATGAAAAAGAGCAAAATGATCCAAGAATTGAAAGACAACATAGCCATTTTTAGAAAGAAGAAAACTGAACTTGTGGAATTGAAAAATTCACTACAAGAATTTCATAATACAATTGGAAGCATTAACAATGGAATTCACCAAGCTGAGGAAAGAATCTCAGAGTTTGAAGACAACTCCACGAATCAATGCAGGCAGACAAAAATAAAGAAAAAAGAACTTTAAAAAACTAACAAAATCTCTGAGAAATACAAGATTATGTAAAGAGACCAAACCTATGACTCATTGGTGTTCCTGAAAGAGAAGGAAAGAGAAGGAGAAAGAGTAAGAAACTTGGAAAACATATTTGAGGATACAGTCCAAGAAAATTTCCCCAATTTCACTAGAGAGGTTAACAGGCGAATTCAACAAATTTGGTAAACCCCTGTGAGATACTATACAAGATAACCATCCCCAAGACACATAGTCATCAGATTCTCCAAGGTCAACATGAAAGAAAAACATCTTAAAGTCACCTACACAGAAGTGATAGACCACTTACAAAGGGAACCCCACTGGGCTTACAGCATACCTCTCAGCAGAAACCTTACAAGCCAAAAGAGACCAAGGCCTTATTTTCGGCATCCTTAAGGAAAAGTAAGTCCATCCAAGAATCTTAATATTCTGCTAAACTAAGCTTCTTAAGAAAAAGAGAAATAAAATCCATTTCAGACAACCAAACTCTAGGGGGATTTATTATTGCTAGACCTGCCGTATAAGAGGTTCTTAAGTGTGTTTTTGTGGTAGTATGTTTCTTTTGCTTCCATGTTTAACATTCCCCTAAGTACAGAGCCCACTGACACTATAAAGAAACTACACAATAAAGTCTAATCAAGCTAACACCACGATGGTAGGATCAGATCCTCACATGTCAATATTAACCTTGAATGTAAATGGGCTAAGCACCCTAATTAAAAGACATAGAGTTGCAAGTTGGATAAAGAAGCAAGATCCAGGCCAGGCCTGGTGGCTCACATCTGTAATTCCAGCACTTTGGGAGGTTGAGGCAGGACGATCTCTTGAGCCTAAGAGTTTGGGACCAGCCTGGGAAACATAGTGAAACACTGTCTCTACGAAAAAAAAAAAAAAAAAATTTAAATTATTAGGTGGGAGACGTGGAAAGATGTGGAATTTATGACTCAGTCATAAATTCAGAAACAATTGAAACAAAAACAAAAATTGAGAAGTGGGACCTAATTAAACCAAAGAGCTTTTGCATAGCAAAAGAAAGAGTAAACAGACAAACCGCAGAATGAGAGAATGAGAGAAAGCATTTGCAAACTATGTATCTGATGAAGGTCTAATATCCTGAATCTATACGGAATTTAAACAATTGAACAAGCAAAAAACAAATATCTCCATTAAAAAAATGGGCAGAGGACACAAACACACTTCTCAAAGAAGATATACATGTGGCCAACAAATATATGAAAAAAATGTTCAACATCACTAACCATTAGAGAAATACAGATCAAAATCACAATGAGATACTCTCTCAGAACAGTCAGAATGGCTATAGTTAAAAACTCAAAACATTACAGATGTTGGTGAGGTTGTGGAGAAAAGGGAATGCTTATAGACTGTTGGTGGGAATGCAAATTAGTTCAGCCACCATGGAAAGCAGTTTGGGAATTTCTCAAAGAGCTTAAAACAGAGCTACCACTTGACCCAGCAATTCCACCACTGGGTGTATACCCACAGAAAAATAAATTGTTACACATGCACATATATATGTTCATCACAGCACTATTCACAATAGTAAATACAGGGAATCAACTTAGATGCCCATCAACAGTGGGCTATATAAAGAAAATGTGGTACATATACACCATGGAATACTATGCATTCATTAAAAAATGAGATTATGTCCTTTGCAGTAACGTGGATGTAGCTGGAGGCCAGTAACCTAAGTCAATTAACATGGGAACAATAAACCAAATACCACATACTCTCACTTTTAAGTGGGAGGTAAACATTGAGTACACACAGACACAAAGACGGGAAAAAGAGACACTGAGAACTACTACTGGGGTAAGGGTGGGAGCAAGGTGAGGGCCGAAAAACTAACTTATAGGGTACTATGCTCACCACCTGAGTCACAGGATCATTCCACTATGCTCACCACCTGAGTCACAGGATCATTCCTACACCAATCTTCACACAATGACATGCAACTTACCCATGTAACAAACCTGCATGTGTATCCCCTGACCCTAAAATAAAA